CCAATAAATATAAACAAAAAAAATATATATATATATATATTTTTATATATATATATATTCCGAAATCATCTATTGTTAGTTTTAAAGATATGGCAATAAAGGAGTCTAAATTAGCAAACTTGTAGAAGCCATAACTGATAAAACAGCTTATTGAAAAAAGGTGGCAGTAATGCACTCTATGTGTGCACAAGTACGTAAGAAAATACACAGACGTATAAAATTGCACGCACACACTCACGCACACACATCCTTCCACACACCTCTATGCTCACGCATATACATATAGACAACAGGAGGAGTTAGAGACAAGTTAGAATTTGATTTGTACTTTGATCAGCCCTAACCTGTGCATAAAATAATGGGAAAAGGCTGGATTTCTGCAGGGCAGAATAGTCTGTACTGGGACTCGAGAGCGCGGAGGTTTTGGTTTGGAGTTTGGGCTACGTACGCCTTGGTAAGAGCCCGTCTGCTCACTGCCATGTACTCTTTTTTTTTCCACACAAAAACAAGCTTCCCACGACTAAAACGTATTTAAAATCAGTGCTTGTGGTGGGAAGAGAGTCAGTAAATGGCCACCCACAGCAGGAAAAATTCTCTATCTGCGGCAGCTCCAGTCCCCATTAGTGGTATGTGACGGCAAACATACACATAGACTATACTTAAATTGACTCCAGGTAAGTTCGACCATTCAGGTTACAGAAAATGTCCCTGAAGTAGCAGGCTGAAATGTTACTGGCCAACGTTTTTTTGAGCAATCTGTGTTTAGCGGCAGGAAATTCGGTACACAGCAAAGCCTTGTGAAATGATCAAGTACAGGCGGTTCTAAGTTGTCTCCCAAACCTCCCAGATATGAGGTCTGATCAGCGTGCTCTGTGGTTAGAGGTTAAAAAGCAGATTATAAAATACCTAGATTCAGATTTTTTTTTGTCCTGATTTGGCCTAAAATGGAGTGTATTAAACAAACTCTGGTCTGCAAAAGACCAGAATCAGTTAAAGCTATGAAACAATGTGCACTACGTGTCAATATTCTATTTCACTTACAAGAAAACACTAAGTCAGCTACCACAAATTAAGATATTTTCCTGATGTGACTTTTTTTTTGTTTTGTTAAAAAATATGTGGAGTAAATGTGTTTTTTTTTCTTTTTAATTCAAAGTTTCAAACAACAAGATTCTTTTCTTTTCTTGAAAATATGTAGGAATCCAAACTAGTGTGTTTAGAGTCGGTTGACTGTGCAATCTCTTAGTGGCAACTGAACAGCTACAAAAAACTTTCTTTTTTTTTTCTTTTTTTTTGAAAAATCTCCCCTTTTTTCCTGGTTTAAGAAGATAATAGTGTATTATCGCTCTGTAGCCATTAGATGGCAGATAAAAAGCCCCCTTTTAATATGTGGGTTCGATTTTTTTTTTTTTTTACTTTTTTTGTTTTTTTAAAGCCCACACCAAAGAGGAGGGCACAAGGCAAAGCTGTATGAGTTATTCCAGAAACTGTGGAAATCACTTAGGGCAATAATAAAAACACTTCAGGGTACAAAAAAGCTTGACTACACATTTCAGTTTTCTTCCTTGAAAACACAAACATAAATTGGGCTTAACGCTCCTTTTTTTTGTTTGTTTTTTTTTTTCGTTTTCTATATGCACCTTGGCCTATGGCGTTTTTGCCCTGTGGCCCGCAGGGCGGTAAGTGCGCAACACAATAAAACCAGTAGAGGTCCAGTTTCACTTGCCCAGCTCGCTAGAGTTGGGTGAGTTTAATCTCAAAACTCCCACTCGACGGCCTCCTCTCGACTCGCGGCCTTCTCCAAGCGGTGGATTATGTTGTTCAAGTTTGCGGCTTTCTTTTTCCTCAAGGAGTTGTCTCGCGTGTTCTTGGAGCTCGCCGCCTCCGAGAAGCTGAACAAGCTCTGAAGCGAATTGGCTTTCTGCGAGCCTGCGGCCACCGTCGAGCTCGTACTTGGCACACTGGGAATTTTCTCCGAACTTTCTTTCGGCTTGGAGGAGCTCTCCCCTGTAAGGACTGAGGTGGAGGCAGCTGAGGTAGAGGCATCCCCTTCTGTAGCAGAGTTTGGCAGCGTCTCCAGACTCTCTCCTGAACGCTGAGATCCCGGTGGAGAGCTTTGCCGTGGCGCTTTGAGCCTGCCCTCGTCATCCGTATCCTCCAGGCTCTCCATTCCCAAGTGGAATGACTCGCTTTTCTCTGAAGACCTGGTGCCCTGCAGTGCCTCTTCCCCCGCCTCGAAAGCTGACTCTGCTGGCCCTCCCTGAGACTTTGTGGTTGCATTGCTGTACTCATCCGCCTCCGGGCCGCTGGCCTTCCCTTCGGGGGGCCCTTCGGCGTCCACGCCGTCACAGCTGTCCCCCTCCGAGCTGTGCGCTGCCCTGGTGCTCCTGGCCGAAGGAGAATCGCTCGCCCCAGCCTGGCTCTGGCTTCCCGCTTGGATTTCTTCGATGAACAGCTCTCGACGGATGCGAGACCTAGGAGATACAGAGAAGGACGGGTGAGGCTGCTGTTGGCCAGTCACGCACAATACAGGCTCGCACCACAAGAACCCACAAGGAAAATTAAAAACCACCCTGTCATATGAAGCCGGTTTTCCTCGGCTGCGGGACAGATGTGCTCAACTGGGTCGGTGGAAGCGCTCACATACTCAACTCAAAGCACCGGCTAAAGAGGCATTGGAGAAAATGTAAAGCATCGTCAAGATGCCCTTAACGCCATCCCCTCTGGCCATATACACCCTTTTTTATGCTTTTACATTGAAGTAACATACATACTGCCATGCTGTGTGTCAGCAGTCCTGGACATGGCTCAAGGGGCAGGCGTGAAAGAGTCACCCATCTCCCACTCATATGGGAACTCTGATACCACGGACTTGAAACTTTAGAATATGCTGTTCCACAGAAGGGATGATTTTAAAATATGAATACATTTTCTGTAGATTCAGACAAAACACCTTGGAGACACAACAGATCTCAGACTCCTGCTAAAAGAAGCTGTGGTTTGTCTAAACAAAAAATATGCAAAGAAAAAGGTGCAAAACCAAACCAAAACAAAAACACCCAGAAGAAACCAGGAGGAGAACAAAGTCTATCATTCTGAATCTGCTCAGGGGAAGTGCAGCCTTTTGACAGCTTGTCAGTCTATGAGCTAGTCTGACTTCTGCCTTATTTTCTTATTTAAAATATCGATTTCAGAACATTAATAGTGACACGGCAGCGGTGCATGACAAGGGAATTAATGCACTTCACGTGTGGTTAAAATTGCCCTGTGTTCCACCTTGTGCTTCCTATTACATGCAGTATATAACACTCCCCAAACATCACACTGCCTATGTCATTTAACCTGGAGCTTCCCTCCCCTTCCTTCTGTTTAGCAGTTTCTATGGTCTTTACAAGCATAACTAACCAGTTCTTGAAAAAAATCTTGGGGTCTAGGTCAACTATTTCTCTCTACTGCTCTGTCCATTTATGACCACTTCTCAGATCCTAATTTGCAACCAGGATGGAGCTTCAGTAACGTATGGTCAGGAAAGAGGCACAGGAAGGGTTTAGCAAAAGTGTATCTTTGCAAAGAAAGAAAACACCGTTTGTTTTATCAAGGGGGAACTGTTTAGTGTCTTCCAAATTGCAAATGAATGTCGCAGAACCAATGCCTGCAAGGAATTTTCATTTTTACCTAGACTTGCTGCAAAACCTTGCACACGATGGAAAATTACAAGATAAAAGCAGGACACCAGCCGAATACTGCATTTGCAGCTAATGGTATTATTGACTTACCTCAAATATAACAGAGTATTTCAGCAGTAATTGCTGACTCAGAACTTTTGGAGGATTTAGGGGGTCTGTGATTTTCCCTGGGAGAATATTATTCATCTAACAGAAGACCACAGGTGCTAACATTAATTTTCTATTAACTTTAATAGCATGCATACTGCAACATCGATTATCAGGCTCTATTTATTCCTGTAATCTCCCTGCATGGACATTGATCCAGAACATACTGCTTCTGTAACATTCCCCAAGTCAGAAGAAGAAACAGGTGAGAGCTTTGTGCCTGAATGGCTTTTAAAATACTGCAGCTCCAGCTCATTGAATGTCTGACCACAGCTCCACGAAAACAAGCTTGATGCCCATGGAAATCTCTGGACCTCACACTGAATGCATGGCTCCTGGAATATAATCTGTCTGATTAACCTAGTAACTAAAGCACCAAAACCAAGAAGAACTGGTGACAGTGGTTAGGGATGGTTAAGGGGTGCCAGTTTCTCTATAACAAATGGTTAAGGGGTGCCAGTTTCTCTATAACAATCCATTACTCCTATTCTTGTGTACAGACAATAGCGGCTCAAATTCTGATGGATCCTATGAGTGCTTCGCTAATGAAAAGAAGTGCAATTTAACATATATTCTTATTTTTGTGTTCTCAGAACTCTGCAATCAGTGTGGATGCAAAGCAAATGACTGGGACGAGTTTGCAGACACTGCAAAATCCTTGATGCCTATTTATACTCTGAAGTGAATTATTCCGTTTCCAGCTGAGGACTTTTTCAAGTTTCCTTTACTCTGTTGAATAAATGCTAGTGCATACTTTTCCTATCGTGGATAAAAAGTTGGATTCTAATGCAGCAACCAGCTGTGGAAAGAGGTTTAAGATTAATACCAAAGGAAAAGCACCACTGCAACAGGATTCCCAAGAAATAGTATCCAAAGAAACAGCAAAACTTGGAGTGCATTAAGCAACGCACAGCAGACCTTTCCTTTGGTATGGGCTATGGAAGACCAGCAAGGATGGTACACAGGGCTATGGGGACACTGGGTCAGACCCTGTTCCCCTAATAGTACATGAACTTTGTGTCGCTTTAGGGATGTCCTGCTAAGGATTTAAGAGTATTTCATGCATGAAAGCTATGAGAATTCATGTACTGCAGAAAAGAACAGTCGCATAGTTTGATTTTTCAGTGGTGGAAACCACTGAAAGCAGCCCCAGGGTCCAGAAAGCTGGAAGGACCTCTTGGAGGTCCTGCAGACTCAGCAACACATCTGGGAACAGGCCCAGATCCCTTAGTGCTACCAGGCCCGTGCTGCCCACCAGGTTATATGACCTTGTTTATAAATCTTGTATTTTGTACACAACTGTCAGCAGCTAGTCCACACTAATGTATAGCGTGGTGTGGCTGAGCACGCTGATCAATCATGACTTGTCATGCTTTCTCACAGCACGCCTAAACAGGGGATCTCATGGCAATGAGGGAGATGACACATGCCACCAGTGTTCCCTCATCGGGCTGCGTAAGTGAGAACAGCACATTTTGCTGTCAGGCCGAAGGGAATGTATTTTCATAGGCATCCCTCCAACTTGTGTATAATTGCTTGAAAGCGGGAATTGCAAGAGAGGCCTCTATTTGGAGAAGTCTGAAGAGTGAAAGAAACTACTTCAGGAGCAAATCCAAGTCAGTAAAAATCCATGTAAATATGTTGCATTTGTTGTAATATATTAAACACTGGAAAACTTTTAAATTATTTTGCTACTGTACGTGATACTTCTGAGATACTGACTTAGACTGTGCCTCTTCTGCTTCAGTAACTCCCCTGTTAAAAGCTGAAAAGGGCTAAAGTGGAAAATACCCTTTTAATGTTAGCAGTTTTCTAAGAACAAACAAGTTTAGCAATCAGCCTGTGGTAATTAGGAACATTACTGGCTTCACGTGAAAGAGCAGAATGGTTTTAAATCTGTTATCTTAACTGCACTTGTTCAGTACTCACTGGCACAAATTTCTTGGAGAAAAATCTGCTGAACTAATTAAGATAGCCAATCCCAAGCACAGCCAAAAATATTTATTCAAATACTTTTAATTCTTACATGCCATTCCAGTATTGTTTATTTTTATTGGTGTCTTTACGTCAAAACCTACTTCAACTGTGCAGATGTTAGGAAGGTTCCTTCTAATATGAGTAAGATAAACAGACCAAACTCTTGATTTATTTCAGTATGACTCAATGGTTTAATCATGAAATAAATAAATACCATCATAATGAAATAAATCTCTATCCACATCTGACTTCAGGGTTATTTATTTCTCTGCCCATCATGACTGTGCAGAACTTCCGAGATGCAGCACACAGTTTTCCCTATTTTCAGAGCTCACTGGCCCAAGAGCTGCAAGAAAATCCAATTTTTGGTCTTACGTCTGGAGGATGTAAAATGAAAAGTGCCTAATTCTGATCCACTAAAAGATGCTTCCAAGTGCCCCCACGGAGTGGCCCAGGCACACGTTTTACACATACACACATGTATATCGGCATATGTATATATTTGCATATGCATGTAAGAAAGACCAGTCTTGCTTATTACAATGGAATTATGATAGTTAATTATGATGGTTAACATGATAGAGGACTTTCAAATCACTTTTTAGTTTTAGGCCCGCACCAAAAGCCAGACTTTCTGCTCAAAAGCACCACTTAACAGCACTATGTGAATATTTCTATTCCTCAGGGATGACTTAAAATCAGTCTATAGCATTAAGTGTGAGTCAGAACCTCCCTGCTGGCAAAATGGTTCATTTTGTACGACTGTGCAGATGCTGCCTGCTGAAGCCGAGCAGCACCCTGCCAAAGCAAATAAAATAAATGTTCCCAGGGAGCGATGGCACCGCGAGGATGGGTACCTGTAATTGTGGAACCAGTTGATCACGGTGCTGGTTTTCAAGTTGAGCTGCGTGGCGAGTTCCTCAATGGTTTTTGGTGATGGGTATGGCTTTTGCTGGTAGGCTCGTTTCAGAGCTTCCTTCTCCTCCGGGGCCAGCACGACGCGGGGCTTCTTGAGCTGGTGCTGCGGCTGCGGGCTGGCTCCCTGGCTGTAGTCGATGCCGGCCGAGGAGGACTCGCAGGACTGGCTGTCGCTCACGGAGCTGTGCCGCCGCTTCATGTAGGCTGCGGGAGAAGAGCGGCACGTCAGCCCCGGCTGGGCACGGGCACCAAAAACCCACGGGGGCCAAACAAACGCGCAGGCTGCCAGCGCCGCGGTGGGCGCAATGAGAGATCAAAGCGAACGCGGGAGGGATATGACAGGCAGGGAAAGAAAAAAGAAGGGAAAGGAAAGACAGCAAATTGACTGGAAAAAAAATGTCAATTTTCTGCTTTTCCATTGAAAATGGGGCACGAATAAAAGGGTTCAGTTAACACAGCTTATTTCAAATTCACTCTTACATGAGGAGCGGGCTTCCACACAAACACCTGATTAGGCCGGTTACACTTCAGCCCTGGTGTTTCTGCACTAAAGACCCAGGGCCTCCGTCTGCAGGGAAAACGCGGAGGCTGGAGGGAGCCGCAGTGGCGGTTGGCGCGTGGAGCCCACGCGATGCCGTCCGAGGAGGCCGGCGGGCTGCTGTTGCTTTTCCTTTGCTCCTGCACTGACAGGTTGTGAAAGGAAAACAGCCCACGGTGTCTTCCTCCCCTACGTGAGGCTCTTTTGAGAGCGAATACACTTTTAAGAGAGCCCGTGCTGTGCAGACGCGGCTCGGCGGGGCTGACACGGCCTTCTGCTGCCGCCGCCTCTCCTCCCTGCCAGGGCCTGGATGATCCTGGCAAATCCAGTGAGAAGAGTCCTGGAAAATGATGCCGTTGACTTGACTGATCTCCGCCAGGCTGAGGGCAGTGGGATTTACCGCACCCAGTGGGCTCATGCACCGGCACCGCTAATGAGGGGGCTGCAAACAGCCAGTGCAGATGAATCTTGTCAATAAAATATTTAATGGCCTGTTAAATATCTTCGAGATATTTAAGGGTATAGGTATTCAAGAGCTGCAATTTGATAACCTCGCCTATTATGTTCCAGATTACACCAGGCTGACATCAATCAAGCAGGCACTAAATCTCCAGCAGCTCTGATCGGAGCCAGGCAGCAATGTGGAGCACGTCACCAGGGCCAGCAACCAAATCCTTCATAAAACAAATTTCTCTCTCCCTGCAGCTCTGCCTTTAGGCCCAGGGCATACAAAGAATAAAAATTCAATGCAATTCAATTAACTAAAATGCTGAAAACCCTTCTCACACGAGCCAACTTCCCCTGGCAGAGCTCCCAAAGGACTGTCTAGGTCTGCTGTCTCCAGTGGGTTTCATCAGCCCGTCCTCTCCGTTCCGTGGAGGGGATGCTGCGTCATACTATTGCTGGAGTGAATTTCCAAGGCTCTCTGTAACCTTTGGGGGTATCTGCATGGCCCTCATTTTGTTTTTCTTGAATATGACAGATTACCTGTGGATTGCCTACTGTGTAAGATCGCTGATACGGAACAGAATGCAAGTTGCTCATGATCCATCACTCTGCCACGGCACAGTCCTGCACACGTTTGAAATAACTAGAAAAAGGGAAGCTGTTCTATATTTTTTTCTAATAAATTCTATTAAAAAGTCATCTATTTAAGTTGTTCCACAAGATGTAGGATTGCGAAGTGATTACTGGTAAACACATTATTTCAAGGTGACCTTTTGGCCCTGTTTTTGCAGCATTCAAGGAACTGTTACAGCCTTCAACTACAGAATTAATCATTCTAGCCGTATAATCTTAAATTTATACGAGGTCTTCAATCTCAAATACTCCTTGGTGTTATTTCAAACTTGCACTGACATTCCAACTATACACCCGGTACTCTCGTCTCCTTCGATAACACAGACACCACGCCTGAAAAATGGCATCTATCACTTTAGCAACGTCCAGCAATTTAGAAAAGGACATGAGACAAAACAGAACATCGCACGGAAGAGGGAAGAGGTGTTTAGGCTATCTCGGAATGGAGTTTCTGGAATTTGGTAAGGCGGCGGAGTTAAGAGCACCCTCCCGTGCGTGGGGACGCTCAGCAGCTCTGTGCTCGCTGCCCTCCAAGGGAAGGTCTTGGTGTCAGCACAGTTCCCCTCTCCACACTCACACAGGCAGCTCAGGCCAGCACCCAACAGCAGAGCATGGAGCCTTTAAATGTCTCCCTAAGCTAAAAATAAAGAACTCTCACTGTTATACAACCAATTATTTTTTTTCTGGATAAAATATATTATCGGAAAAAACCTTCCATTGGGCCAAAGGCATAACTCTGGCACTTGCCAATGTGCTAAGCAGTGCCTAGGCTTTATGCTTTAATGGCATTTTCCGGAAACTTTGGATGGTGTTCATAAGAGCTTTTACTTTATAGTTCTGATTTTAAACATATGTGTTGAATGTAGACAACATAAGGAGATCATTCAGCACATTTTCAGTGACAGAGAGGCTCCGACAAGAATCCAAGTTGAAAACATACTTGATTTTTGGAGCAGGTTTTTTGGTTTTGCTTGTTTTTTTTTTCTTTCTTTTTTGTTTTTGGTCTATGGTTGATCTCCATGTCTCGGAAGACCAAAAGAGAAACCTAAATGTAATCTGGGGAAAGGTCTGGACCTAAGATCAACTTGACAAGGCCAGCTCTATCCTCCGAGTTTTACTTCTTCTCCTTTCTTGCTGCTGCAGACCTGGCATCCCCAGTCCCCCTGGAAAGACTCCCCAGCATGTGTTCAGCCACAGATGATGCAGATGCTATTGCAGAACTAGTGCTGCCCACTGAGGTAAATCAGAGCCCCTTTTAATATGATTTTTGTCTCATGCAGTATTGAACAAGATTATTAAAAAGTGAAATAATGGGGAAATAAAGGGAATTAAATTTTCTCCTGACAGCAGGCTTCAGTACAGTGCGGTGAGGAGTGCGATGTTACCAGCAGCACGCATGGTGGGAGACTGTAAGAAATAGGAATGAAGTCTTCCCAAGCAGGAAAGATGGGGCAAAACGTCTCAGCCTAGTGAGTGTGAACCTCCATCTTCCCCCAAAGAGGTTACTTAACGTATATTGCAAATTTTCAGAACCTTTTAAAATGGACATTTACAGCATAAACTTCAGACTGGGAGAAGAGCAAAAAAGATATATGCAGCTCACCTTTATCATAATTATCAATTTACTCCCTTAATAAAATGTGGCAGAGAAGTAATTGGTAATAATGTTTCACTGGTAAGAGATACAGTTGCATTGTTCTTTAACTGACATTAGCTGAAGGGAAAGTTAAATTCTTAATGTGGCTCTAGAGCAATTTAAAAGGTTAAATCACAGAATCCTTACCTGCATGAAAGGATTCTGCAGAAAATACAGGCTTAAAACTCACTTTAGGGCGTGCTGCTCGAGGACTGCACTTACACAGCTCAGGAGCTCGGAGAGTCTCAAATGATTTATAGCCTTATCTCCATTCAGGTGCCATCTATACAGCATATGTATTGCACAGTATTTGATAAGAATCCAGTTTAGAAAATAGTTCTGAAAGGATATTGTCGG